TGAATAAAAGAGTGCTTAGAGCTCTCAGGAAGACATCCTGATAATATGAATTCCAATACAGGATATTCTAAGTCATATTTCAGAACTTTAAATTGACTCTTTCCACTAATTTTTCCAATCAATGTTCATTAACCTATTCATCAATCTAAAATGCACAAACAAATTCAAGAAACACATATTTGAATCAATTTTTATGCATTGGACTGTTCTCTGTCTCGAGAAGACATCTCGATGAAGAATGCTCACTACGGAGACATTTAATTCCAAACGGAACCATAGAAGTGCAGAGTTACAGAATCCAAATCATTTTCTCAACACATAACAAGTACAGAAATCAAAAACAAAGAACAAAATCGAGACATAAACAAGAACAGAACAAGAACACAAAACTCAACTTTATTAACATGAAAAGAAAATTTTACAAACTACCGGAAATCACCAAGACTCTCGCGGCCTGTCACCCTCGCGATCGTCTCAACAAAATCCAAAAGTCGAGAACTCTACTTCTACGAAAGCGGAAAGGAACCCTAACCTAAAGAGCTTAGAACTATGAACAGAGAGTGTATCTCAAAGTGTGTAAAGTAGTGTCCCCTATACATGGTGAAAAACCCCTTTATATAGGGTCGAAAAACGAAAAGAGAAAAGAAAAGGGAAAAAGAAAGAGCTAAAAAAAAACTAACTGGAAAGCTTCTTGATTGATCTTCAACAACTCTGAACCGCACTGCTTTCAACTGTCAACTGCTTCGCACGTGCTTCTAACCAACAATCCAGCTCAGCACTCCTTCCTATTTGCTTCCCCGGACCGATTTAGCTCTGGGCCGGCTTCCTTTTTGGGCCGTGGAGCTTGCTTCTCCACTTTGGTTCTCCTCCTTGCTGAACCATGAACCTAGGTTGAAGAAATTGGGGAAGAAGTCCTCTTTGCAAGCCTTCGCTTGAGTGTTGAGAAAATTGGGATAAATTCCCCAAATCTGATCCTCTGCACGAATCAATGGTAAAACAAGAGACCCCCTTCAGCTTTGGTCTTCTACGCACCGTTTCACTAATTGGCTAAGAAGGCTTCAGTTCAACTCCTTGCACACACTGCACTCCATTTTAATCAGTACTGGGCTTTCTAATTTGGCCCAAACAGCACCAGCCCCTCTCTGCAAAAAAACAGTACCAAATTAAAAAAAAAAATCTAACAATTAAAAAGAAAGATTTTTATTAAAGATTTTCTAAAAAAAAATTATTATTTTCCTACTAATTAACAAAAGCTAAAAATTACATCTAAAAACCTATTTTTAACTAAAATTTTATAAAACTAAAGAATTAAGAGAAAAACATAAAACTAGCATAATTCTAAGAAATTAAAAACTAAAGAAATCTAAGAAATGATTTTTAACAGAGAAAAATATGTAAATCTAGAGTGTTATCAGTCTCAACAACGACAACCATCTTCCTAGCCCTGTCAAACCACCTAGCCCTACCACCAAGCCCTGCATCACCAGTTCCTAGCCTAGCTCCTCAAATAATTATCCATATCTCCAACCTATATCCACCATGCCACCACATACCACCCTAGCCTTACCGTTTTGCCAAATGACTCACCCACCTCAATCATTATTGATCACGTTTATCACCTGTTTGCTGAAAACAATGCGCGACAAGAAGACCAAATTGTCCTCACCATCCTCCTTAACACCCTAAATCGTGATGTTCTATTTTCAATCCTTTTTATGTTTATCAAATAAGGTGGAGGACATTATATGCTAAACAATTTTGGGAGGTATTAGTTCTAGGGGGAGAATACTTTTAATGAGAGAAAATGTTTTAGATATGTACATTCATTAATTTTACATTCATCAATAAGTATTATTTGATTATGCTAATTTTTTTGTATACTATAATACTTTAAAATTTATTATTATGATTATTTGTTCAGATAGAAACATGGTTGCTTATGCATATACATGCTCTATGTTTTTGAATACTTTGATAAAAGTGTCATGCTGTAATACAATGCGTAAATTGATTTATGACTTATGGGAAGTCATCGTTCAATCATTCATACATATTGCTCATAGAACTCTGATAAAATTGTCATGTTTGCTCTAATTCAATTCATATATATTCTGTAATTTATTTGCTATGATAAATATGAAATGTTTCTATGTTAAAGCCATAAGCTCTGATGACCTATTTTTTTTTAATAAATGCTATGATACTATGTCCTTTTACAAGCTCTAATGTTTATATCTTAACTTTATTTTTATTAACATGCTTTCATATAAACGTTATGATAAGATCTTAGAACTATCTTTACTCTGATACACATACATGAAAAATTTACTCAAAAAATGATAGTTAAACGACTAGCATGATAGAATTGATGAAATGGTTTAACTCTATCACATCTAGCCAATTATTTGATACCTATTTCGTGTTAGCATATATATTTGTCAAACATAAAAACTAAGGAGATTGTTAAGACAAGATTGTCTAAACAAACATTGTTTAGAAGTTTAATAAAGCTTCTAAACGAAATAGCATTTAACAAAGCAAATCATCTAGAATAAAAGTACAAAGTGCTAAACGCTGTACGTAAAAAATATCCTAAACGCTATATGTTAGTCAAATAATGCCTAAATGCTTACTCACGTATTATGACTAAACTCTTAGAATCTTCTAAAGCTTTAATAGAGGTACATAGTGACTAAACCCTTTTGTCTCCTCCGTACACACAACACAATTGCCTTTACAAGATGCAACATAACTTCTGACCTCATACTAAAAGTTTATATCCCTAAAAGAATGTCAAAGCTTGGAGTAATAGATCTTTTTTGAAGAAGTCTATATAAAGAAGATTGCATGAAGAGAAGAATAAAACAAGAATGATCTCTGCACACGTTCACGCGGTTGATTTCTCTTTAAAAGCTCACGTGGTCTGAGACTCGTTCTTTGAAAAAGAAAAGCTTTCTTTACAAGTTTTCAGAATCACTCTGTATTAATTTCATATCCTCTTTAGGAGAATTGTATTATGTTGTTGTATATCGAAAAATACTTTGTTGTTTTTAGATTCAGAAGTGAATTCATACATTTGTAAGTTTAACTCAGTACTGTTAAACATTGTAGAGAGTTGGACTAGTTTATACTAGGAGTTGTGAAACTCGTTCTAACCAGTTGGGTTAGTTGTAATACTTGGAGTGGTTAAACTCGTATTGTAATCTTTCAAGATTAGTGGAACCCCTTAAGAGTGCTTAAGGGAGGATTGAACGTAGCTCAGTTTGGAGCGAATTAGTATAAAAATAAACTTGTCTTACTGCTTTTATTTTAAAAGTTTTCCTAAACGCTCATTGAAAAACTTAAGTGTTTAACACTTGTTACAGACTGTCTAACCCCAACAAAAGAGTTTAAACACTTGTTTGCAAAAAGTTTTAAAAATTCTATTGAAACCCCCTTTTAGAGTTTTTCCTATATTAAAAGTATGAAGGAAGAGTGGATAGAAGTAGAAATGACAAAATGAGCTAGTTTGACTCATTTTGGTTCGGTTCTCCATTGACCTACCAAAAATGAGGTGGATCTCAGTACTAAAACAAGATAAAAATCTTGACTTGTCCTCTGCCAATGTACAGACTAACAATAAATAAGTAGTAAATAAGCCTAAATTGAATGGAGTATAAAGGTAAATAGAGTCAAGTTAAAATGGATTTAACTTTAAATTTGTAGAAGTTTTTGTTGAAAGAGAATGTCATGAGACTTCTGAATAAATTTCATGATAATGGAGTCTTTTGTAATGGCAAAACTTTTTCTTGTCTCACTCCTTACTAAGGTGGATAATCTACACCATTTAGGAAATTTAGATTGATTTCTTTGGTGGATGTATTTATAAAACATTTGCAAAAGTTCTGTTTAATATATTAAAATTGGTGTTAGATAACCCACAACAATCTTCTACTAAATAGTTTTTCCTTTAGGAATCAAACTCATGATCTTAGATCTGATAACAATTATTGTTATCTGATAACCCAACTAGCTTAAGATGTACCCTGCAACACTAGAGACAATCTGAGAAGGGCAGTGGTGATACCAAAAGCAGGATTTCTATTGCCCATTTTGGAAACAAAGGAATCATTGGATCATGTGTTATTTTCGTGAGTTTCTGTTGGTATTTGCAATCGTTTAATATCCTTAATATTCAATTTATATTCCCTGCATCTGCTCGCTCCCATTTCATACAGGTATATGTTATTCAATGGGGCAATAGGAAGGCAAACGACAGATGGCAAATTTTATGGAGTGCAACAACATAGACATTGTGGCATTGGAGAATACGTGTTTATTTCAAAACAAACAATTTCTTTCAGTGGAAGCATCCAGAACATCTTATTTCGCTGCAGATTGTGACTTAAGAAGGCATTTGATCAAACTTTTTCAGACTCTTATACTATATGGAGTTGTAATACCAATATGCTCCATTGTTGAAATGAGATGGCTTGATTTGGTCAAAACTAGAGACTCATGCTATACTTTCTTTTGCTTATAAAAAGAAGTATTTAGTGCAAGAACAGCAATTGGAATATTAATAAGAATAGAACACGGAGTGCTCCCCTTTTGATAAATGAGATATAATGCGGATCAAAGAAGAATTGGGGGTGAAAATACAATTCACCCAACACATGAAAGCAATAAAAACTTTGTGAAGTGTTGCTGAGAATGGAGCTCTTTTATTGAAAGCATGCATGCAGCAGCAATAGGTGTCAAGCTTCCCAACCCCTAAGGACAGTGGCACGTGCCACACGATTAACTGCCAGGGTGAAGGCTCCCATACGAAGATCACAATCATGGGTTTTGCACATTTCCTTCACGTCTTTGAAACCTTTGGTCATGTAGTTCCCTAGCTCATTGTTCACTTTTTCCTCATTCCACATGAATCCTTGGATGTTCTGTATGTAAAAAAAACCATGAAGAACATGAGGACTACATAAAGTCCACAAGCAAAAACATTTTTCTTCTACGAAAATTAGTCATTGATATTATGGTTGTTAACTTACATGAACAACAAACAGTGTTAGAATATCATTTTTTTTTCATGAAACACTCAAATTAATTTATCCTTAAGCATGTGAAATCATGTAGTTCATTAGACAGATAGATAGTTAGTTACCTGAACCCACTCAAAGTAGCTAACTGTAACACCTCCTGAATTTGCATATATGTCTGGGAGGATGACAACACCTTTTTTCTTAAGAATCTGCAAGTTCATTAAACAAATAAATAGTTAGCAATACTGGATTTGTTTCTCTTTCTTTCTTGAATGAAGAAGGAAAGGGAGGAGAAAATTCAAACTAGCCTCATCAGCCTCTGGGTCAGTAGGGTGATTAGCTGCTTCCACAATGAATTTGGCCTTGATCTCATTTGCATTTTCCCTTCAACCATACCAAATGATACAAGAAAAGTAGCTTTATACATACCCCTTATTATGTAATAATTCAACTTTGGAATATTGACTTTTGGAAGGAAGTACAAAGCAACAAAGAAAATGGGTGGTTTAATTTTATGTTTACTTTTGAAAGTAAGCTATGACGATGGTGCTACATAGTTTGTCAAAATAATCAATTAGTTTGAGGTGTCCCTTGTTTGCCTGAGTTAATAACAAAAGAGTTTTGTAGTTAAGTTAGGAAAATCACCTATTGATGACACCTCCAAGAGCTGCTGGAACTAGAACATCACAATCTTCAACCAATATTGAGTCCGGGGAAATTGGATCACCACCATGGAATCCTTTTACACCCTTGTGTTTTTTGGAATGCTCGAGTAAGCTTGGGATGTCAAGACCTTTGCTGTTCTTTATGGCTCCAGATATGTCACTCACAGCAACAACTTTCCCACCTTTCTCACTGATTAATTGTGCAGCCCATGACCCTACATTTCCAAAACCCTGAAGAAATACACTATAATATCATGAGTCTATCTTCAACTATTTGGAATACTAAATGTGGTTTTAGAAAAGCCAATGCGTCCTTTGTTAGTAGTTCAACGGTATTAGAACAGAGTAAACAGGTCTAACCTCTCCAAAATTGACTCATTGTTCTAAATTAACTATTTACTATGAATAACTTCTAACTAAATGGTCTGTGGGAATCTCTTACAACACAACCCAGAGGTTCATTTGTTATCACTAACACAATCATGTGTTCATTAATTTGAACATCATTTCAAGTTGGCACAATGCAATATCCATTCACTGGCACAGAGATTAATGAAAGTAAATACACTAGACACAACAAGTACCTGTATGACAAACCGTTGTCCTGATACACTCTTTCCATGCTCATTAAGCAAAGCCTCTGTTGCAAAGAGAACACCTCGTCCTGTAGCCGCTTCTCTACCTAGAGATCCACCAAGATCCTACATTGAAGAAAATAATTCAATTGTTTTCAAGCATGATTTCATCTGGTCATTGAAATGACCAATGAAATGACCAATGAAATGAAGTATACAAACAAAGCACATTACTTACTATAGGTTTTCCAGTCACTACTGCAGGAGAATAACCATGAAATTTGGAGTACTCATCTAGTATCCATGCCATAGTCTGCAAAGATAAGCATTCATTCAGCAAGATAATATTCAATTGCAAAAAATCATATCAGCAGTCACATATAAAATAACAGTTATATAATAAAAAATTGTATATTGTCTTTAAACAGACAGCAGAAGATTCAATTCTAAATCTGTGTAATTAGTACTGACCTGTGGTCCTGTTCCCATGTCAGGTGCTGGCACATCTGTGTGAGTCCCAATCAGATCGTGAATTTTCTGGGTAAAAACTCTGGTTAGTCTTTCTAACTCAGATATACTTAATTCTGCTGGATCACACCCTATCCCTCCTTTGGCACCACCGTATGGTATATTTGCCACAGCTGTTTTCCATGTCATTAGTTGTGCTAAAGCATTCACTTCATCAGGGTCAACCTATTTATTCCATTAAGTGATTCTGAGTCAGAATGGAGAACCTAAACTACACACCATATACACATATAAACAGTTACACATAAAAAAAGTTGTAATTTGAACCATAGCTTTTATTAAATATATGGCTGTTCAGAGGATTACCCCTACAGCTTTTCGAAGTTATACAAAAATTTAAGAATCAAACAAGTTTCCTTGAGAAAAATCTAATGGCAGTTCAGCGCTGGACTAGATGTTCAATCAAAAGAATGCATAGATAAAAGCCTTGAATGGTTAATAATTAAAAGCTTTTAGTGTTAACCTCAGGATGGTATCTGATTCCTCCTTTCATGGGGCCTCTGGCATTATCATGTTGAACCCTGAATCCGACATAAGATTGCAATGTGCCATCATCTTTAGGTATGGTACATTCAACCTGCATTTTGTGAAACATTATTTAGAACTAGGGTTGGTGAACACGTGAGATAGCAGAGAGAAAACAAGTCAACTAATTTTCCAGAGAGATATGAAAAACACAAGAAGCATTTTACTTGCCTTGATTTCCCTGAATGGAATCAGTAAACTTTTCTCAAGCTTTGAATCCAATCCCAGAAGCCTAGAGGCCAGCTTAAAGTTCCTGTTGGTGGCTGCTAGTGCATTCATGGCTCCCCTTTACTACAGAAAAGACTAACACAATATTCAATCTTTTAGCCACAGATATCTGAGATGTGGAAAATAGACCCTGCAGTGTTACTAGAATTGGGACTAGAGATATTGTATTGAAGATGAAAAGAGATGCATTTGAGCTAATATTTATATATCAAGATATACATAAAGCTAGCTATAGTCAAATGTCAACAATACAATATAGACTAGTAGATGTTGGTATGGCCCATATAATACTAGCAAAATGGATAAGTGCCAGCAATGCGCCATATCATGTGGATCAATATCACCAGTTAAATCATGTAAAATTTAAGATGTCAAAGGAAAAAGTTAAACATGCCACCCTCTCTCTCTCTGCAAGGCAAAATATAAATAGGTTGCATTATCCCAATAAGAATATCTGGTAAGAGAAACTATTGTTAACTTTGCAGTGATAATCTTCTTCACTACTGAGTGTACCTGTCTAGTGTTCTATCTTCTTTCACATCTCCAAGAAGAAAACTAGTTAGAAAGATCTACCATGCTCCTTGGGATGAGAATACAGTTTTATTTTTCACTTTCTGAGAATTCAAAGTCGATCTGTTCAGGAAGCCTTTGTTATATACTTTTCTGAAATAGCTTATGAAAGAACTGTGCAGCCAGTGCCCCTTTTATTAGTGACACGTTATGAGTTACTACAGGGCAAAGCCTTTGCTAATGGACCCAAAAAGAGAATCTCAGGAATACAACATCAAGAAGGGCCAACTTCTTTGGAATCTCCATGCAGAAGAAACTTTTAAGAATTAGAAGTTTCTCAATGGCTACAAAATCATCTGAAGAGGCACTATCCAGGTGAGGTGGGAAGTAAGATACTCTCAACAAAAGTGACAAAATTCTACCCTCGAAGATGCAAAATTTTGTTTAACAAGTCTAACATCTAAATACGGCTCATGCACTTGTTGGTTACAGTGAAATTCATTGCATCCACAGATACTTTCACACTTGTCTGTTACTGCCACGTTTTCAATCTTCAATGCTCTTTGTATAAACAATAATTTAATTTTCATTTCCGATTGAGTATCTTCTAACAGATTTTTTAACTCAAAAATATCCTTTCTTTTTCTAATATTTCATATTTCTTCTATGGTTAACAATTTATAAGAGATTGTAATTTATATACATAAATATCTTCAATTTTTTATAATCTAATATATGACATGAAAATAATGATAATATTGATAAACAATTCTTAGAAATAAGTTTCCCTGTCAGGGGTAAGAAGGAACATAAATTATGCATTTAAGACAAACACAGATTTCACGGCTTTTGTTGCGGATCGTGCCATAGATTATATATTTCTTTTGTTCCAAAGTTCATATATCAATTACAAAATGTGGCAATTCCAAACTTCACTAAATTATTTTTCGGAGTACTTGCCTTCCACGATGCCCCACTAAATGGTATTGATGATACAACCTTCTAGCTCTTAGATATTATTTTAATAAAGGAAACAAGTTTAAAGTTATGTGCCCTTCCTTTTCTACTTTTGTTATAATGATTTAAATATATATGGACCTGCCCCACTTGCCAACTTGTTCTGCTTTTATATTTGAATCACAAGTGCTCAGTCCAATCTAATAACATTTTAGACTTTGTCATAACAATAACATTAAAAACATTTTAATTGTTCAAGCTACTCTTGGGTGTGTGAAAAAGAACACGCTAAGCCAGCAGCATATTCACTGCTTCAACCACTGAAATTGGTTTTTGGTACTATGTGAAATCAATAATATTTATAGTCTAAGTTACCAAAATGAAAAAAAAGGTTTATCAGAAGAAGGGTAGTTCAAGTTCTGCATCATTGATGGGGTCAACATACACTTAAAAAAGTTAGATTTCATTCCAAAAGTAAGTTTTTGTAATGCCATATGGCACATGTGACTGTCCAAACACACGTATTAAATTTTAAACCCTACATCAGCATAGGATTAATAATATTAATTAAAAGTTCAATGAGCTGAAAAACACGATGAAAAACATCACACCTTTTTCTTTTGAAAGTGGTTTCCAAGAAAATGCTGAGGTTAGGACATACTGATATATCCAGAATCTGTATAGTTAGTTATTCAAAGCAAGAGGGATGAGCTTGATAATCTTTTAACTCCCTCCCTACTAAGTTAATGAAATTTATTTAATCATTGCACGTATCCAATCAGTTTAAGTAGACGTCATTTTCGTATCAATATATGAATGAATCAGTTCAAATTATGTGGACTGAATTTTCTCCTATACTTAAATTCCATTTAGTTATAATTTTACTGTGCTAAAATAACTCTGAAAGTGTAAACAAATTTATCATCTTTGGGCATATTCTACATATCAGCTAAATTCATATAGTAACAAGTTATTAATTGATGAGGCAAGTGACACCGGAAAAAGGGGATAACTTAGATATTAAATGCAACACGAGTCATTTTAACAATCTTCCATCAAATGAGATATTCATGGTGATTTTATTGTTTATATTTAATAAAACAGGGTCTTTTGCTTCAACTTTGATCAGAACTTTGCACTGATAATGATCATGGTTTATCCAAATAAATAAAGTCATCATCATTCTCATGCTTGTTGGACAATGTTATCTAAGAACAGGTAAAGGGGAAATTTTTGTCAGTAGTACCGAGTGTTGTATATTATTTACAAAAGCAAATGCATCATGATCCAGAATCCCTGACTCTACAGAAATAAAAACCAAAGCCATAGTACCAAAGGCAAAAACCAACTCATTCTCTAATTGAAGACATTAAACACCTTAGTATCATCGAATTGCAGTTCCAAAACAGAAAGAAATTAAGGCAACCAAATTTATTTAACAAATTTTTAACATTTCAGATAAAAAAGTGAATTGAGAAACTTACCAAGACTTGGAGAATCAGACTCGGAGGAATGGATTGCAGCAAGCAAGGCAAGGTTTGATTAGCAGAATACCAGCCCAGATATAAATAGAGGGGAAGAAAAGAAAGAAAACCTAAACCCTAGAAAGAATCAGAATTGAATTCCAAAAGGAATCTAATTCAATTGAAAAGCAAAATCCCTGTGTAGTTTGCAGACACCCCAAATATGCCAGAAACACTCAAATCAACATATGTATGTACTTTGATTTTGATCAGAACTGAGAACTACAATTTTGCACTGACAGAATATGATGCGAGTGTGAACGAAAGATAAGTGTTTGATGTCCTTTCCTATATCCCACTTGGCACTATATAGCATATCTCAACCACTCTCCACCATTAGTCACAACACTGCGCTTCACTGACACACAACACACTTGGGAGGAAGGGAACATAAGCATAATATTAATAGCAGGGTTGTACTGTCATTGCCCAGTGACTATAAATATACATGGTTTGATCACACACGGGAATCCAACGCGATTCCCACACATAACACTAACCAATCAAATCTTCAAAACTCCATTGATGATGTTACCTTTGCTAAATGTTTAGTTAAAAGTCTCTTGGGACCATAATCGAAACATTAAAGAGTGAATTGTCTGTTCTGTAAAATTCTAGGTCTATTTTACAGACACTAGACATTTACAAAACAAGTAAAGTTGATTTACGAGGATGTCATATACATATTTTGTAAGTTGTTATGTGTTACGATCAAAGTGGTCCAATTTATTACTCGATATAGCAGAGATACGTTTTAAGTGAATATCTAGGTGTGAGTGTAGTGCTCTATAAAGCTCGTGTTGTTGCAAATTGGCTCAATTCCTATATACATATAGTTTGGCACAATTTCCACACAAGGGTATCCAACCCCTATTTTAAACTGATCAGGTGAGATGCTGATATATGATAGAGATTCGCATATTCCTATCTAATAAGTCGAATTTTGCTTTATAGTAAAACCAGTAAAGACTGATTCAGAGCACAAATAAAACCGGTTTCTTGTCGTGTGAATGATCGATGTTTTATACTATATAAATTGATCACTTTAAGGTAATATATTATTCGTTCTTTTTTAATTTGTTCATGAGGAATTGTGCGCTACGTTTATGCATAACTTTTGTAATATCTCTTTGAGGTTGTTCAAAATTTGAAAGTGTGATTGGATCGTGTTTTACATGTGTGTTTTTCGCTGTAATTTTATAGGAATTTATTCAATTACTCATGTTGAATTTTGAACTAAGTAATTTTAAAGTTTATCATTTCTCGTCTTTTGAATGTTTTTTCTCAGAAACATGTGCAAAATCTAGGTTTACAAGATATCAAAGTGAAAGTCATTTTCTACTTGAAATCTCTCTTATCTTGACATGTGGTACCTTCGTAATAGAAGATGGTATGGATTTTGACACGTTTAACACATGATACTTCCAAAAGACGATAACGTCAATTTAACGGAAGAGACTATATTGAGTTTATTTTACAAAAAGTAGAGATTTAATTGATTTTTTTTTAAAAAAAGTATAGAAACTCAATTGAATAAAAAAATACATGACCAAAATGAATCAAATAACTTAGGGACCAAATTACTAATTAATCTTTTAATAAAGGAGTTAGGATTCCTACAATAATAAATAAATGAGTATAAGAAAGATAGATTGAACAATGAACCATCCAATATTTTAGCAACTAAAGTCAAAGTTAATCATATCATTAGGTCAAACTATGCATAATCCCTTATTGACAATATTAAGAAATTATATTAAAAGTTAATCCATTAGTAAATTAGACTATGAATAATATAATACTTTAATAATTGAAGTTGAAGTTAATCATATAATTGATCAAACAACAAGAGATCCATTATTCATGACATCAAATCACACTCAAGATAATGCACCTAAAATTTTCTCGAATAATTGTTAAGGAAAATTCTAAAGAATACATACATACATATATATATATATATATATATATATATATATATATACTCTACAACCACTATGCCAAACAAATGTATTACCAAAAATTATACGATTTAAAAAAGAATATTATCTAATGTGATGAACTACAAAGACAAAAATCAATGAATAAAACAAGCAAAACTTTCATAAACAAACTTGAATTTGATCTTGAAGAGAAAGTGATGTTTTCGTAGATATTTGAGCTTCTTGTTTTTGAAAGAAAACTAAAAAAAATCCATTTTGTAGAAATAATTTGACATGTGGCTTAATTGACTATGGTAAGTAATAATAATGTATTTAACTATAAGTTGCTTTTACAAGTATAATTGGAAGAATACAATGAGTTATGCTTCCATTTAATAAGTTATTTGTGCAAGCAAAGTTATTACATTAGAGAAGGATAATCAATTCTGTTAATGTATACTCAATCATCAATGTAAAGAAAGTAAAGTTTTTTTGTCTAACTAAAAACTTAATCAAGTATTCATTAAGATAAGCAATTAACAATGAAAATAAATGATTTTGAAAATAATGAATTATCATCAAAATGATTGATTATTCAAAAGAACAATTGATTCTAACAAGAGATTAGTTTGTTTCTAAAACTATTTTAATAAAATTTTGAAAATCTTTAAACATTTTGTAAAAGTTGTAGTGAGTTGCACTTTTTAAGCATAGATTAAAGCTTTGTTGTATGCATGAATCATATATATTCACTCATGAAAGTTAAACCATACAATACAATGAACAATCCTCATCGTTAAAACATCTTCAAGAATATTTATGGGTTGACTTTTATGTCAAATGTATTAACATGAATCTAAGAAATTTTCTCAATAACGCCAAAAAAACATTTATCCAAGTTCAATTTCAATTGCTACTCATTGCTGGTGTTGAGAAATTCCTTTAAATTAATCTTATAGTGACTACATAGGGTGAATTCGATCATCATATTATCCATCTATTCCACTATACATTTTCGTCTAACATGTTCTTCAAGATCTTCATTAATATTTAGTTTGTGACTCTTGCATTTTTCAACCTTAAAGGAATTACACAGTAATAGTAATTAGTTATTTCTTCATGAATATAATTTCTTCCTCATATTTGGGATACAAACATGTTTGAAGTAAGCATCCACAAAGCTAACGACTTTGAACCCTGTTGTTGTGTCAATTAATTAATAAATGTTTGGTAAAGAATAAGAATCTTTGGAGATTGAAGGAGAATGTGTATTCAAATTGTCCTTGTTCTCCATTTCTAAGTAATATAAGATTATTGAGTGTATTGAAATAAATACCCAATTATGGTCTAAGGAAAACAAAAATTTATCTTTGGAATCACTTTTTCATTTACCATAATTGATGGCTAAGTAAGGGAAGGAAAGTTTTAATACTTTTAAAGAAGGAAGATTTGTGTTTAGAAGCTTACTTTTGTTTCAACACCAATTTCTTAACCTTTGTTCGGTAATAATGACATTGTTAGAATAAATGACTGCAATGAAAATATTTTTGTTTTGAAACTAAGATTTTGTGTTAGGATTTTTTTCATTAAAAAATAACTCAAACAATTAAATAAAAAATATATTTAAATTACCTTTAATCTCACATCTTATACTATATATATAAGTTAGAAACTTGTAATATAAATAATTAATGTTGAACATTATTATCAATAAAAAGTATACATTTTCTAGTTTAATTTCTCTTTTCATCTAATTAATAGAGATTATAAAAGTGAGAACAATTTTATTTTACTTGCCCATCAACAAATTATTATAAATTATACAAATCATTTTTTTCAAAATAATAATACAAACAAGAGGAAAAAAAATCTTAAATACTAATTTAGTCCCTATTTCTATTCAATTTAATTATAATTTTATTTTCTTGTTCAACTAAGTTTCAAATTTCATAATTTTTGTCAATTTAGTATTTCTTAATAACATGATTTAAATATTGGATGATAATGATGGAGATGAGTCATGTAAGATTAAATAAGCCACCTATTTATTTTAATGTTAACTATTTACACAAAACTGACTAAATCAACCAAAATTAAAAAAAGTTGAAACTTAATTAAATAATAAAATAAAATAAAAATTAAATTAAACAAATAAAAACTAAATTAGTATTTAAAGTAAAAGAATATTATTGAAGCATTTTGTCAATTTCAAACCCATTCATCATCCATAACATGAGACCAGAAAAGGTTACCCCACGTATTGCAAGATTAAAAATACTCGAGAGTTGGACCACCTTAATTTATTCTTCCAAATATGATATTCATTGAACTTATGTATTTTGTCTTTTTAAACATCTACCCTTTTTTCGGGTACATAACCGACCCTTTAAAATTCTATCTCCTTCCCAGCATCCAAAATAACGTAAAGGAAAAAAAAATGAAAATGATATTTATTTAGTAAAAACATTAATGAATTCACATGCCTAAAAGGAATTCATATTATATATATCACACGCATATGAAAGTTAGTTAATTTTAATAAATTTCAGTAAAGCAGTGTTCGGGTTCCTCAAAGCGTTTAATGATATTATATTAATTTAAAATAAGAATGATATAAAGTATTCTTAAAGTGTAATTACTTACCTTAGTTCAAAATTTTAAGAAAAATGTCTGTTAAAATAATTCTAAATAGTCAATTTTACAAGCTATTGCATTTTTAAATTTACTAAACAATTTATTATCTATTTGAGCACGGGTGCTGGCAGTGCTCCGCCGTAACAACAGGATAACAATAGCGCATAATATCGACTTTAAAACAAAAAATAAAATAATAATTTATATTTATACTTTAATTATTTTTTTATTTGATTCAGATTAATCTCACATCTTTTAGAAATTTTACTTCCAAAATAAGTAAAAAATTACTGCAAAACCATATTTCAATTTTAGAAATGTTTTTCATACTTAATTAATTATCAACGTATTGGTGATCCTAACACGGAGTATGAGCTAACTGCTCCACTTAGTAGTACAAAATAGTACTATTTCCATTAACAAAAAGTAAAATGCACTAAATTCATCACACTAAAAAAATATATTCATAGTTTACTTTGTTGTATTTAAAATTAAGTAGTCCATTATCATTCTTGGTGTACCCATATTTTTTATTTTCCTTCTCTCTTGGTTGTCAATCCATGATTTGTTCTTTTTTCTTCATTAATATGAATTTTAAAACTAATAAATTATAGACAAACTTATAAACGTTATTAAAAATATCAATTCAATATAAGGTTTTAATATATTGAGTTTGTCACTCTTTCATTTTATGTATTATTTATCATCTTTATTTTTATTAAATGTAAGATTTTAAACAGTCCCATTATTTTCAGAACCCCTACTTTCCAAATTCACTATCTCACTTCCTCTCAAAGTGTCCTCAAATACTTCAAAATTTCTAAACTGTTTATCCAACTACCATCACCACATAATTCTTACCCCACCCCTTTCTTGCCAGCCCAATTGGTCATCGAAGAAGAATCAAATGTTTGAC